TGTAGGTTTAATATTGGCAGGTCCTCATTATGATGATCGAAAACCAGAAAAGTATCCGGATTAGAAAGACTTCTCTCGCTCCATCTCTCTCTGTCTCTCGTAACCTGATGTTCAATTGCCTGGCAAGTGACAATTGAATTGTAAAATCTTAAAAATCAATTGTTTCGGGAACAATATTCTCAAGGCTGTAGGGGCCTCTTCGTCAACAAGCCCGCCTATGGTAAAGTATTTTACTGTACTATTACCATTTTTGTTCCGTTCGTAACCCGGGGGATTATAGGATTATGAGAATTTTTAACAGTATGCCGAAAATCTTTCTTTTTTTTCTTCTTCTTTTTTGTAAAGAAACTTTTACCTACTGGTACATAATTATTATATTAAAATCCCGAAACGATATTATATTGTCAATGTCCTAAAATTTACTTTTATTTCGTCACCTTTCGAAATGGCGCGAGAATATAATGCCACGCCTTTCTGGTAAAACTCCCATTTTTTCCGTGTGCGAAAAACTTTCTATTATTATAAACTCTAAAATGGGGGAAAAAATTTTTTTATATTTTGAAAGAAGAAAAAAATAGGTTTTTGTTGTTTTTGAAAAACTGGTATGTTTTTGTAAATAAAAAGTTGGTGAAAGGGTGTATTGACACGTTTTAAAATTTTATTGTCTTGTGTGCGAGAGGTTTTGAGTTATAACTGGCAAAAGTTGGGACAATTGGCAAATTAGTGCTCGTATGCGGTCATTGCCTTCGTGTGTCGCTGCTAATATTACGTTATTACAAGTTGGACACGCTACCGTCATATGGCGTTTAATGCCGCATAGACTTTAGTCCATCGTCAGATCAACGGATAAAAAGGACAAAAGCAATACGCCTTTTATTGCACTTGTTCACGACACGTAATAATTTTCTTTCACTCTTTCAAAAGTCAAGGGGGGTTGAGAGCTGAGAAAAACTGAATATTTATAAGTAAAACAATTTTTTTTGTTTACTCCTTTGTGTTTTTTTGTTTGTTCCTTTTTATTTCATTTATCTCATTTCAATTGTGTAGTTTCTTTCCAGTTTTTACCATATTTTGCATACTTTTTTGTTTGCTAAAATTTCCCATAGGATATTTTTTTCTGTTTCTTATGTTAATTGTTGAACTCATTTTAAAAGAAAGAAAAGTGAAACTCGAGATATGCTTTAGCATTTAAAAACCGAAAAAAAATCGTATGAAAGGAAATGAACAATTATTATCTATTGAAAATAGAATGTTCTCAACGGAAAAATTGATTTTTATTCGATAGAGAAAAACGTTGGGTGGGAAAAATTGTTGATACATAGTTAAAGGTGACTGGGTATATTGAGAGGCAAATAATGGAAAATGGAAATGAACCACCCCTTGAAAAGTAATTAACATGAAACAAGACATGTGGTATAAGTGTGCAGGTGTACACGACTTAACGATTTTTCCATAAGCCTATGTCATGATTACTCTGCATGTAGTATGGTTTTTTCATTGCTTGTTGTTCGCCAACCCTTTTTCTATACTCAACGAGTATTCGATGTACACAATTCTCATTGCAAAAGTCGACAAGAAAACATCGACTCTTTTCATTTTTAATTTCTATGCATATTACAGGGCTTGGATTGTGCGAATTTTTCGATTTTTTCGACTTTTTTTTTAAGGAACTGCGACTAATCGACTTTTTCCAGATTTTTTTGAGTAAAATGCGACTAATTGACTTTTTTTTCACATTTTTCAATTACTTTTTGACTTAAATTTTGAATAGCAGAAATATTTTTCTGTAAATTATCTATTATCTATTATTAACTAAATAATAATTTTCGTATTTCATTCTTTTATTAATTCGATTCATTAAATAATTAATTTCATTAAATTCAATTATTTTCACAAATAAAGTATTTTCCACAAGAATTCAATTATTTAAAATAAAATTTACATAATATTTGTTATATTTCGAAAAAATTAATTATTTAAAACAATGTTTATAAAATTCTTATAAAGAAATCAATTATTTTTAAAAATAAGGAGGTTAAAGTTTTGAACGTTTAAATGAACGAAATTTATTTATTTCTTCTTCAAATTAAATTTTTTTTACTATAATTTTGCGTCACTATTAAGCAAATTAATTATAATGTTTCTAAATGTAAAATTTGAATTTTTAATTTGAATTGTAATCAATAATCTATGAAAATATTTTTAACAAAAAATATTTCGTTCATTTGAACGTTAAAAACTTTTTGTTCATTAAAAATAACAAAATTCTTATAAAGAATTTAATTATTTTCAAAAATAACAAATTTTTCACAGAAATTCAGTTCTTTTTAAACAAAAATCTTTTTCTGTAAATTATCTATTATCTACTTCTTTTTTAAATAAATATTTAATAATTATTATCTTTTCATAGATAATTTCGAAAATTTCAAATTAAAGCCTTTTTGAAATTAAACAACTATTATAAAAAATTGTTATAAAACATGAAGAAATCGATCACTCTGAGTCTTCGACTCGGATCAATCGATATCTTCATGTTTTATAATAATTAAAGATGACCGAGTAATTAGATTATTATTTTATATTATAAGAATATTATCACTGTAGGTAAATTCTTCAGAATTATTTTCATCATTTCAATTCAGTTATAATTTTCTAGTATTATTAATTACTTTTTATGAAATAAGTTAATTTCCTTAAAAATATTTTATTATTTATGAAAATAATGAAATTATTGCGAACGATTATATTAGAATTTTTTACAATAATTGAATTTTCAAGAAAAAATTTATTACTTTTCAAAATAATTAAATTCTTGTGATGAATATTGATATTTATGAAAATAATTGATTTTTCCAAAGAATTTTATTAAAATTCCTCAAAATAATTGAATTTTTGTGAAAAATTTTGTTATTTACGGAAATAATTGAATTCATTCTAAAAAATAATTTAATTTAATTCTTGGGAAGAATTTTATTAAAATCTAAAAGAATATATTTAATTATTTCAAAAAAATTAATTGAAATTGTCTTTAAAATAATTGATTTCTTTCGAACAATTTTATTAAAATATTTAAATTCTGGTATTTTTTCAAGGACTTTAATTTTGAAAAATATTTGAAAATAATTGAATTCCTGTGAAAAATTCTAATTTTTTTTTTTGTAAATAATTGAATTCTTCCAAAAAGTTTAAAAAAAACATTTTTTTTTAAAAATTGATATCTTCGAGGAATTGAAATTAAATTTTTAAGAATAATTACATTTTTCGAGCAATTCCTGTAAAATTGTATTAAAAATAATTGAAATCCTGCAATGCATTTTAACATTTATGAAAATAATTGAATAGTTGCGAAGAAATTTATAAAAAAATTTGTAAATTATTGAATTTCTGTGAAATTTTTATTATTTATGAAAATAATTAAATGTTTGCGTACAATTTTATTAAAATTTTTTTTAAATAATAAAATAATCAATTAAAAAATAAATTTTTAAATAAATAATAATCAAACCGATTTTATTCGATTCATTGAAGTATTTTTTTTGCGTTAAAAAATAATTATTACGATTAAAAATTATTTTTGTGTCTCATCGTATATAAAAAATCTACATTCTGTTGTCAGTTATTCGCTCGGATTTAGTATTTTTATTTATATTGAGAAAGATGTTAGAAAAACGAAAGAAATCATTATTTTTTTGACTCATGGCAAATAAAAAAACTACAAATAAAATAATTTTCATAAAAATATTTTGTTACATTCTATACTCAATTCTAATAATATTAATATTTTGCCATTTTTTTTATAAATTTTACAATTTCATGTCTCTTTTTTGTCGTTTTTTCGAAAATTTCATGCGACTTTTTGCGACTTTTGTTGTCAATTTATGCGACTAAAGCTACTTTTTTTACATCTTAAAGTCGATCCGAGCCCTATCATTAGCAATTAATTCTGATTTTCTCATTGTCTGTATTTTTAATTTGGTTAATAATAGTAGTATTGAATTGTTAAATAAAATACCTGAAGAGTCATAAATGAATAATTCACTTATAGTTCCTAATTCTTTAAATAACTCATTACTTAAAATTTTTAGATACTTTTAGATACTTTAGTCATTTGGAAAAAAATTTTAATAGGTGGAAAGTTCATTTCCAAATGAAATTTATCACCTCTATTTATTCAGCGTGTCCGAACTATGGCGTGAATGAACCGTCAAGTTAAATTTAAATTGATTCCGAATCTTTTTGGTTATAAATCTCAAGTGATGCCAAATGTACTAAATTTACTTGACCTAAAAATAACGAATAAAGTAAAATAGCGGCGGAAGAAAATTTTTGTTTTATGTATTATAGTTACTATTCTAATGAAAAAAAAACAAAAATTCGTCATAACCACCAACTTGAAATCAAATTGAGAACAAGATGATGTTCTAGTTCGTACTTCGTTTTTGTGGTCTCGATAAAGAGATTATACTTGATTTGTACAGCTCATATTGAATCTAGATTTGCGGTTTTAAGCATATTTTTCCTTTAGTTTTTAGATCACGGTTATTTAGATAATTTTACAGTTAAATAATCGTTTTAATATTTTATTTATTTGTAGAGTACGTTAAATAACTAATATAATAAATAAATATAGTAAATATAATAAATTAATATAGTAAATATAATTAATAATTAAATAGGTACAATAAAAGTAAAAGAAGTTCGAGACTGATAAGGAAACTTAGATATGACAATAATTCTTCAGAAAATCAAATAATGTAGGTCGTCTTTCATTTTGGAGGAAATTCATTTGAAATCTGTGGGAGAAAGAATTTCCATATATAAATATACCTTCTCTGGAATTTTTATTTTTATTTCTATGAATTTATGTTAATGTGTTATTTATTAATTTGAACCATTTTTTCCTCCATTGATTTATTTGGTTATATTTAAAGTGTGTTAATTAAAGTGAGGGTAATAAAAATTTTTGTTAAACTTTCTTTTTTCTTCTTTGAATTTTTCAGGTGCTCCAAAAAGACATAGAGGCTCATGGACGAATAGTGAGTTCGGTGGTGAAACTGGGAGAGAAATTAGCAACACAAAATGATGATCAACAAAAAGGAAATGAGGAACAACGACAGCAACAACAGCAGCATTCAGCATTACGAGTAGCAAGCTCTCTTGAACGTCGTTGGCACCTTCTATTTCTTCGTGCTTTGGAATGGCAATGTCACTTTGAGACTCTCGCATCACGTACCTGCAATAAGGTAATGTGCCTTCAAAATTTTTTCACTTTTCCCACATTATATTCAAATTATCAGTTTCAAAATCAGTCCATTATGTTCTTATCTCGATATTTTATCATTATAGATAAAAAAAAAGGGTTTTTGGTCATTACTTACCTACTGCTCGATATTTTCTATTCTCATTTAGCAAAATGAGGGTCTAGATGATTTTTGACAAATTTTGAGTAATGATTTTGTGCTAATGATTTCTTTACTTTAGTTTCGAGATCGCTTTTGAGCTTGCTTTTTAATTTAACGGATATCAGTTGGTAATTTTACTTTTTTTTCGGGAAAAAATAGAACTAATTATTCTTCTTGATTTTTAATTATTTGTAAAATACATTTGCATAAAGGGATGAATTTATTATTATTAAAGTAACGAGATATGGTTTGTGTCCAAAGTGTCCAGATGTTATCTTAAATCCATAGCGAATTGAAAATTTTATACAAATTATAACGAATTACCCTAGTGAGTCTTATATATGCGAACATTTCTTGTTTCTTCTTGCGCGCGTTGTTCATATTTAACTACCAAGATATTATCTCGAATTACATATAGCATTTTTAATATAGTAACATTTCTTATGCGAATTTTATTTTAGAGAAAATTTTCTGAAACACAAAAAGAGTTTTTAAGATTGTCCTAGTTATCGTTCACGATTATTTTAAAAATAATTTTAATAATAATAACAGGCTTCGCACTCGTTCACTAAAACTTACTATTTACTACTTTTCTTACGTTATGTTACTATACTATTTAGGTACTTTTTTTAGATTTCAGCCATTAAAAGCTACTATTTCTGTTTTTTTTAAAAGAATTTACACTACTATAAATTTGCTAATATACTAGAAATCGAAAAACTATTCTCAGAAATTATAATCAAATTCTTTCAAACGATTCAATTATTTTCAAAAAATATTCGTAATTCAATTATTTTCATAAACTTTTGCAAAAGAATTCAATTATTTAAAAAAAAATTAATAAAATTCATCCAAAATTCAATTATTTTCATAAATAATAAACTTTCCATAGGCATTCAATTATTTAACAAAATTTTTGTACAATTCTTCACAATAATTCAATTACTTTCACTAATAATAAAATTTTTCATGGAAATTCAATTTTTAAAAAATTTTTTAATAAAATTCTGAGCTAGAATTCAATTATTTTCATAAAAAATAATAAAACTCATCGAAGAATTTCAAATATTTTTAATACTATTTTAAACTAATTAATCGAAAAACTCAATTATCTTCACAAATAAAGTTTTCCACTAAAATTCAATTATTTAAAATGGAATTTTCATAATATTTATTATATTTCGAAAAAATTGATTATTTAAAACAATATTTAAAAAATTCTTATGAAGAATTCAATTATTTTCAAAAATAACCAAATTTTTCACAGAAATTCAATTTTTTAAAAATTTTTTGATAAAATTCTGAGCTAGAATTCAATTATTTTCGCATAAATAATAAAATTCTTCTCAGGAATTCAATTATTTTTGAAAATTTTAATAAAATTCTTAGCAACTATTCAATTATTTTTATAAATATTAAAATGCATTGTAGGATTTCAATTATTTTTAATACAATTTTACAGAAGTTGCTCAAAAAATTTAATTATTGTCAAAAATTTAACTTCAATTTCTCGAAAAAATTATTTATTTAAAAAAATGTTTTTTAAAATATTCTTTGGAAGAATTCTTATTTACAAAAATATTAGAATTTTTCACAAGAATTCAATTATTTTTAAAATTAAAAAAATACCAGAATTCAAATATTTTAATAAAATTGTTCCAAAGAAATCAATTATTTTAATGACAATTTTAATTAATTTTTTTGAAATAATTCAATTATTGTTTTAGATATTCATAACATTATTCCCAAGAATTCAATTAAATTGTTTTTTCGAAAGAATTCAATTATTTCGATAAATAGCAAAATTATTCCCGAAAAATCAATTATTTTGAGGCATTTGAATAAAATTCTTTGCAAAAATCAATTATTTTCATAAATAACAATATTCATCACAAGAATTTAATTATTTTTAAAAGTAATAAATTTCTTCTTGGAAATTCAATTATTTTAAAAATTTCTACTATTCAATTATAAATATTGCAGGATAAATTTTTAATATATAAAAAATTTAATTTCAATTCCTCGAAGAAATCAATTATTTAAAAAAATGTTTTTTTTAAAATCTTTTGGAAGAATTCAATTATTTACAAAAAAAATTATAATTTTTGACAGGAATTCAATTATTTTCAAAAATATTTTTCAAAATTAAAGTCCTTGAAAAATTACCAGAATTCAAATATTTTAATAAAATTGTTCGAAAGATATAAATTATTTTAAAGACAATTTTAATTAATTTTTTTGAAATAATTAAATTATTCTTTTAGATTTTAATAAAATTTTTCCCTAGAATTCAATTAAATTATTTTTTAGAATGAATTAAATTATTTCGATAAATAACAAAATTATTCCCAAAAATCCAATTATTTTGAGGCATTTTAATCAAATTGTTTGTAAAATTCAATTATTTTCATAAATATCAATATTCATGACAAGAATTCAATTATTTTGAAAAGTAATAAATTTCTTATTGAAAATTCAATTTTTTAAAAAAATGTTAACAAAATCGTTTAGCAAGAATTCAATTATTTTTATAAATAATAAAATGCTTTTTTGGTGTTTAATTATTTTCAGAAAAAACTTAATAAAATACCACAGAGACATTTAATTATTGTTAAAAATTTTAATAGAATTCTTTGTAAGAATTCAATTATTTTCATGGATAAGAAAAATTTCTCAGGAATTCAATCATTTAAAATATAGAATTCGCATAAAATGTAGTCGAAGGAAATTAATTATTTAAAAATTTGTATAAAATTATTCGCAAGAATTAAATTATTTTGATTAATGTTTAAATTCTTCCAGGAATATAATAAAATTTGTTGCAGAAATTTAATTTATTAGCAGGATAAGAAAGAAGTAAATATTTTTTGATGAAAATTAGGCAAAAGGCAGGAAAATAAAATATAGAATAAAATTTTTGTCAGTTTTGTCAAATGTCTAAAACAAGTTTTTTTGGTCGTAAAGTTTAATTTTTCGATAGCTACTTGTTTACTACACGGAGAAAAATATAAAGTAACTTCTACTACTTTTATAGTAAAATATTTCTGGTTAAGCATTTCTGGTAATTTTTACTATACTTTCGAAGTAAATTTTGCTACGTTCGAAGTATATTTTACTACCTACGTTCAAAGAAAATATTTGTAAAAATTAGTAAAATATACTTCGAAAGTATAGTAAAAGTTACCAGAAATGTTTTACTATAAAAATAGTAAAAGTTACTCTATATTTTTCTTCGTGTACTTTTATTGGTTTGAAAGCTATTTTTTTAAAATTAATTATCGAGTGCGAAGTCTGTAATAATTACAATAATAAAAAGTGAGATTTTAATACAGAGCGAAAATTCTAATAGCAGAGAAAGAATAAATAATGACTTTGAAATCAATAGGGGGAATAAAATGATAATCACGAGGAATAGAATTGATTGAGGAATTTGATTTTAATTGCAGTATGGTTAATGTTTTGCAAAGACTCTCTCATCGTCAATAATAATATAATAGAAAAGGATCAACTAGAGATCAAAGTGGATGATTAATAGGAAAAAGCCCTTGAGGTAATCATGATAGAGGCAAATGTATTTGATCTAAAACTCTTTGACCCTCATCTTTTCAATGGATGGATATAGGTTTTGCAATTGCTATTACTATTAGATATCATGAGGTTTCGGAGAGTATTGGCTATTGGTGTGCGTACATCTGACAGGAAGTCTCTCGATAGTGTAAATGTGTACCACTTATCTATCCACAGTTAAATCGATAGGAGCTCATTATGCATGCACAATTGTAGCTCCCACCTGGTGGTTCTCACTCACTTTGCAATGCTTTGCAATGCTTTGCAACAATATTGTCCCAGCCCACTCACTCTCCTATTCTCTCTCTTATATTATTCGTCTGATAATCCCGTACCTGGGACTCGTTCGCTGTAAATACTGTAATAGTGTAATACGTATCCGCTATACGGCCACGGAAGCGTATAGTCTGTTACATTAATGGTTTACACGTGCGCTCATAAATAAAGGGATCCTTCCAAAGGAACCCAGCTACGCTTTGTAATGCGATCTAACACGCTCTTATTATAAGATTTATCGTCAAGATTCCTCTTTTTCGACTCCTTGAACTCTCCACCTCTATTTCGTTAGTTTTTTTATTGGCCATAAAGTTGATATTTACTCTCGATTGGTGGGAGGAGATTCTCCACTCTGGATTACTCTGGGGGTAATAAGAGCGAGAAGGAAGTTAGCGTCTTTCTCACTTGCTCTCATTGCCCCGTTATGCTACTATTTGGGTACTTTTTTTAGATTTCAGCCACTAAAAGCTACAATTTCGGTTTTTTTTTTGAGACTTTCCACTACTTTAACTTCGCTAATACTAGAAATAAAAAATCTATGCTTAAGAATTATAATCAAATACTTTAAAAGGATTCAATTATTATTAAAAAATATTCGAAATTCAATTATTTTCAATATCTATTATTTTCATAAAATTTGGCAACAGAATTCAATTATTTAAAAAAAAATTGCTAAAATTCATCAAAAAATCAATTATTTAACAAAATTTTTATGCAATTCTTCACAATAATTCAAATACTTTTACTAATAATAACATTTTTGATAGAAATTCAATATTTAAAAAAAAAATGTTTGACAAAATTCTAAGCAAGAATTCAACTATTTTCATAAATAATAAAACTCATAAAAGAATTTCAATTATTTTTAATACTGTTTAAAATTATTAATTGAAAACATACATTATTTTCCAAAACAAAAAAATTTTCCACAAGAATTCAATTATTTAAAATAAAATTTTCATAATATTTATTAGGTATATTTCGAAAAATATAATAAT